TTACAGATGTGTTGTTATTTTCTACTCTGTTTTGTGAGAAAAGTCAAAAAAATATGTGGGAAGTGTTTTGTGGTTTTGTGAACCTCTTTTGCAAGTCTTGACTGTTTGTTGGCTGGCTGAACCAACTCATAACAGGGTCTATTTTTGGTGGTTTTGTGGGTTCATTGTTTTTTGCAATGTGAACATTTTCCTGTACAAAGTTGGCCAAATATTGCCCTGGTAATTATCATCAGAGAGTTTACACATAAGTGAGCACAGATTCCATATGACTTGGCATATAATCTCTTCCTATGCCAAGAAGACAGCAATGTTTTCTAAATATCACCACTGATGTTTGGAGGCTGCATGTCCATTAAGCCCACTGAGCAGCTTCACCACTTGCATGCCAAGGAATAAGCAAATGAGGTCTGAAAGGTTGCCTTGCAAAACCAAGGAAACATTTGAGAAGCTGTGGGTAGGACGTCAGTCAAAGCTCTAGAGTTAAACAGAAGCTTATGGATCTGGTCAGGGAGAAACTCCACTGCAACTGCAGAGAGGAGATGAGAAAAAGACTGAGACTTTTGAGTACAGAATTAAAAATCTCTCAGCTCAGGACTAGAGTAGTTCTGGAGTCTTCTGGGTTCTTTTTAACAATATTCTTCCTTAATTTATGCTTTGTTTGGATTGCACGTATGAGCAAAACTTGCTGCTAATCAGTGAGTCACTTGGCTACAGTATTTCCAGTCCAGAGGACTTTGTTAGCTGTAATGCACAGTTTCTGTGCTTAACTTCTACAACCTTAATATCTCAGGTAACTTACCCAAGGCACAGTGGATTGGAAGGAAACAATAGTGTTTTATATTTCAGGCTCAGTTAGCTGGTGTTTCTAAAGTGCTTGAAGTTATTTGGATGAAGGTATTAATGCATAGTAGACTGACAGACGTTTTAAGTTTTAAAAATAAAACTAATAAACACTCTCACCATGTTTTGAAAACATGAGTGTTATAACTCCTCCAGAAAGTATCATTTATGATACACAAAGTCAGTGTACTGGAAAAACTGGCACCAAGTCTCAAAGGTTTTAAAATAGAAATAACATTCTCTTTCTCCAGCTTGTAAAGGAAATACATTGATGAGTTTGGAGAATTTATTCATTCGTATGAGCATGTGTGGGTGTGCCAAGTAGGGAGTGTAATGAGAGAAAGATAATGAGGGGGAGAGAAATAGAAACAAAGATTTTGCATCTATTAGTTCTAACAGTGGGAAAGTCTGAAAATGTCCTTGAATCTCCCAAGCCTGGGTTCAGTCCTGTGGTCCCTTCAGTCACCAGATTCTCTGCCTGATAGTTGGCAGATCTGTTTTTCCCACAGAGCAGAGGTCCCTAGTTTGCAAATCTGTTTTTCCCACAGAGCAGAGGTCCATGAGGGCCTTTTGGTACAGCTGAGATTGTCACCCAATTGTACCCAGTTGCATCACTTCTGACTCACCTGGGCTGAGAGTTAGTCAAGAGCTTGTCACCTGCATAAACACTTGGATGTGAACAGTATTGACCTAGGTGCAGTTCCACAGGAAAGGGCCTGAAGTGGCAGAAAGCAGTGCAAATAAATTTGATTTAACCAGTCTGCTAAAAAGCTGCCATCAGGACTATAAAACTGTCTGCTTATCCATACTTCCCAGTAAGTGGGTTTGATTCACAAAACCTTTGTCTGCCTCAGGATAGATAAGTTCCTAAGGAACAGACCAGTGAAATATTTACTGATTGAAATAACCACAAGGAAATGCTGTTGAATGAAATTTTTTCAGGTACCCATGTGTACACTCTGAATGGAACTGATCCAGAAGGAGATCCAGTGACATATGACCTGACCTATGAAGCAGGATCAAGACTCTACTTTTCTGTTGACAAGAACCTTGGAAATGTTACACTGATCGAGGAGCTTGACAGAGAGGTACAGTCAAATGGCACCACTCCAGGTGTTTGTGGAATTCTTTCAGTTTAGTTTGATCTGGACCTGTGCCTTTGAGGGACAATGCCAGCTTATTTTCCCCTGAAGCATATAATATACTTTGCAATTCTAAGACATTATGCTTCACCCATCACATTGTTTTCCAGTTGACTTGTGCCACTAACACAGCTAGCATTTTTTTCTCAGCTGCTGTCTGTCCAGCTTTTGTCAAAATAGAAATTTATTCTTTATTGCTATCTTCCCATATCCACACTCCATCAAGAGCTTAGGGGCAGTTACAGTCCTCAAATGTTCAGACAGGAGAGTCTTCTGTCATTAGGAGGAAGAAGAGATTTGTGTAAGCAATGTTCCAGGACAATTCTCTAGTACATCATAACCAAGTCAATGTGACCATGTTGGGTAAAGATGTTCCCAGCAATGGGAGCCTAAAGGCAGCCTTATTCTGGGAACACAGGCATTGAATCCTTCATATCTCCTTCACAGAGAAGGGTACAAAGTACTTGGTAAACCCTTCAAAATACTGTATACTGAGACAGAAGAATTTTGAACCAACTGTGCCTTTTTATGGAATGCTTCTTGAAAAAGATGACTGATTTTCACTAACACTTTACAGAACAATGGATTCCCAGGCCAACCATCTCTTGACAGGAGCCACAGAAAGTCCTAGGAGCCTGCAGCTGGAGGTTCTGAAGGGTCTTCCTAGCCTCTGCTCTGATTGCTTTGTGATATTAGCTGTTACTTTCATCTACCTACCTAGGCATGTTTAAATCTGTGGTCCCATTTTGCAATCAGGGCAAACACCATCTCTCTAACAAAGGAATTTTCTTGCTTTACAGAAGGAAGATGAGATTGAAGTTATTGTCAGTATTTCAGATGGCCTGAATACAGTAAGTATGTAATTATGCTTGTCAAACTGTCTGTGCCCACATACCTCCTCCTATTAAATTACCTTGCAGGGACTATTTCATTTGATCAGAAAACATAATCTCATTAGAGTCTTACCTCCTGTTCCAAGAGCTACTGGACTCACAGTAACTCAAGTCTCACTTCATCTCCTTGCTTAGCTGTTTGAGGATAATTATAATGTAGTATGAGCTGAAAGACTGACTTAACAGCCTGCAAAATTACTGAAGAATTACAGCAGCTTCCTATGAGATTTTGCTGCTAGCTCAGTAGGATTCATGCCTGAGAAAAATCTGGGGGCTTTTTGGAGAAATGCATGACATTACAAGAACTACTGTTGAGCACTCAAGAGCTGACTGTCCCTCCACCCCTGCAGTGTTTCTCCAGCATGACATTAAGAAGATTTGCTTAGGCTGAGGTGATGGGTGTTTTCTTGTCTGCTGCTGGACAAAGCTTTGATCACATCTAATCACTAAGGACTTATCTGAGGCATTGCACAAGCATCCAGTCCTACTTCCACAAATTTTCTTGCCATTTTCAATTTATGAACTGATACTATCACAGCAAAGATAGTAGTCTGCCAATAAGAGGACATGGGCTTCATCACCAGAAGTAGGACCAATGTACTATCCACAAGACTGAATACCTGTTTAGAACTTCCTCATCTAAACAAATTAATAGAGATAACTACAAGAAATATTTGGGAGGCGCCAGCATCCTACAGGCACAACTGCCCTGGCACCCTCTGTAAATAGGAAATAATGGGATTGCATCCACATGTCCACTTGCAAACAACTGGGAAGCTTTTTGGTCAAATATGTTTGCTTCTGAATTTTTATACCACATTTTTTTAAAGATAGATTGTTGAATATTAGCACCATGTATTTGTACATCCAAATTATCTGAGCTATTACCCATATATCATGATATAAAACAAGGCATTAATGAATGCTCTTGGGTCTCAAGTACCAACTTTTACAGCCTTTTACGTATTATCCTAAAATGCATCATAGTATCTTGAATGCCATAAAGAATTAAAAAAGACTTGAAAATTGCTCCAATCTGTAATTATAAAGTACTCTGAGACTCCTCCTCTAGTTTGGAGATATCTGGGTGTTCTCCACAAAGGAAGTTCTTTTGGATTATAGAATTTTCTGTATTTTCTTTTACGTGTCCAGTTTTGGTGGTGCACATATATTCTATTGCAGCACAATTTTTAATTGACTTAGACTACACCGTAGTAGGCAAATGAATGGGTACATGTTGAAAATCAGTTTGAGTTACAATATGTTCTTCATATTCTACTCCAGGTTTCTGAAAAAGTCAGGATTCTTGTAATGGATGCTAATGATGAGAGCCCAGAGTTCATCAATACACCTTACATAGTCGAAGTCCCAGAGGTTGGTGAAGTTCCTTTGCATACCAGAAGTATATTTCTACAGGATGTAAAGAGGGGCCAGTATGTTTTCAATAAAATAACAAGATGAGTAGGACAGATTTGCATTCTTTTGGTTTAGGGTTTGGGTACATATTTAATATTCACTGCAAACTTAGGGAATAAGTCTGTAGGTACTAAATTTGTGCCATTTTGGGGGTAAGCTCAAAGATGTGAGTCATTGGGAGATTTTAGAATTGACTCCAGAGGGAATAGGATACACTCTATATTTCCTAGATTTTTTTGCTGTTTTTTATTCTACAAAATGTTTCTTCCTTCTTGTTCTCCATCTTCCACCATTTTTAACATCTTCCCTCCTTTCCTTCTGCCCTTTGGCTTCCTCAGTGCTTTTACATTCTTTCTACCATCGCTCTCCTTTTCTGCCTCCTTGCATGCTCATTATTCATTTCTGCTAACTCGTGGTTTTCTACTTCTGTGTGATTCTGGTAACTCTTTCTGGTCACAGAACACTCCCTCCAGCAGCAGTATCTTTAAGATTGAGGCAGTAGACAAAGACACGGGTTCTGGAGGAAGTGTCACCTACTTCTTGCAGGTAAAGTATTGACTGTACCTTCAAAAATCATCTCTCATTTACTGAGATCTCAGAAGTCAAATTAAAAAAAAAAGTCTTTGGGTGTTGAACCTGATACTAGTGCTGATAGGATTAATTTTGCATGGTGCATAAGAAAACAAGCACTGACAAAACAGATGTTGTCTGCTTGCAAGCAGCCAAGGGCAATCCAGCAGGCAGGAGGGGGAGCTGGATTTGTTACTGACACTCCTGTGCTTGCCAGCAGGACTCCTCATGGCAAGGCTGTTACTGGTCCTTCCTTTGGAGTGACAGGGAGAGCAAGATTAGTTGGTAACCTTGTATGCTTATGGGATTTCTAAAGCAAGAAATAGCTTTCTTTAGAAAGTGAAACACACTGGAAATCCAAATGTCCCCTGTAGTGTAGCAGGCTGCTGCATAATTGATACCTGGATCACAGTGTGAAATATGAGGCACTAAGTCTTCTCACTGACAAAGCTGTGACTGCTTGAAACCAGCCTTTAAGTTACTGCCCACTGGAGAAAGGCCTCCATATTTAAAGCTGAATTTCTGTATTACAGACCTTCTGCATACCAAAAGGGCAACTTTTTGCATTATATCATTCAAAGTCCTTCTTGCAACAAGTAGTTTCATCCACAGTCACTGCAGTTCCTCTTATTCAAGGGGCAACAGGGGGAAAAAAGCCCCCAAACAAACAAAAACCAAAGTGAATTTGTTGCAATATTTAATTTGGATACAAATATGGAAACAAGGTAGAAGATATTTACACAGCACTAAAGCTAATCCTGTTAAGAACTTGGAAATACTGTGAAAGAACACCTTGAGTGCCTTGTTGAAATTTAGCTTTGATTTCACAAATCATGATCCATTTAAAATACAATCTGTGCAGGATTCAATTTTGCATAGGGCTTTTTCCAGGGACCAGATAGACCTTGAACCAAGGGATGGCAATTTCAAACTTCTCTGTCTAGTTTACATATTTGTGTGGCAAAAAAAGGATACTAAATATGTGTATTTTCTGAAAGAAAAATCTTGCCATGTCTTTTGGCACAGCCTCTGAGAACTGTGAAGTTGCACAGAAAAAAACCCTCTGATGTCTGATATAGGTAGGTCATGATGTCTACTGAAACAGCCAAGATTCTCTGACAGTGGCCACTGTGTATGGATACTGGAACAGAGGTGTTTGTACAGATATCTCCAGCTTAGAAGAAAGGAGAGAAGGGCATTTTTTAGGCCTCTTTGAAAATCAGATGTCTTTTAGATTTTGTTTGTACATCACAAAAATCACCAAAGCACTACTGTATTGGCAATAATCTAAACATGCAACCTTCCTGCTTTGAACTTTGAAACACTAAGGGGTAGCACCTTTTTTCTTCTTCTTTTTCCCCTTGTCTATTTTTCTGTTAAGCCTCCCTTCCTCTTTCCATGCAATGAGCTGTGTTAGCCAGTTTAAGATTTCACAAAGAAATACTAAAAGATTAAAAATATCTACACTACAGGTAACTGATTTATTCTGAATAATGAGAGACTCATGGTTGGTTCATGAATTGATCATAGACACACAGAGGTGAAATTCATTAAATGTATTATTCACCCAAACCATATCATTATTCTAGTACTTTCCCTTAGCAGATGAAATAAAAGATGAATCCCTACAGCAATCTTATTTCCATACCTGTAATCTCTCACTGTTTCTTCTTTTCTTTTCTTCTAGAACATCCATGCTAATAAGTTCACAATAGACCGTCACAGTGGTGTCCTGCGCATCAAACCAGGGGTCACCCTGGACTATGAGAAATCAAGAACGCATTTTGTTGTGGTTGTAGCCAAGGTATACAGCTTTTATCCAGAGCTAGAGGAGGTGGGGTGTTGTATTTGAGTGGCTTTTATCCAGAACTAGAGGAGGTGGGGTGTTGTATTTGAGTAGGACTGATTAGTTCATATACAAGAGTTGCTGAAACACGAAGCATAACATTGAGGCAGCAGTGTTACTCCCTCTGTAACATCTGGAGGTGTGTGGGGTAACATGGAAAAGTGAGGGAGAAAAGGTAACTGGTGTCTGCTGCTGAACAACATGTGGAGGATTTGGTTGGGAGTGGTTTTCCCATATTTTGTTCATGTCACCTCCATGTTTTGAGAGTCACCTAGAAGTGAAGAGTTGGTGTATGTGGCCCCAGCTGCAAGAAACATCAGCCTTTGAGCGAAGTCAGGTGCTCAGGGTTCCCTCATGCTGCCCAGGGCACGGCCCTGCTGCAAGAAGGACAAACCCCAGGCAGGCAGACAGTAAGACACAGGGCACAGCTGTACCCAGCACAAATGATGGACTTCTTCTCTGGGAATATCTGTGAATGTTTCTTTCACTTCTCTGCTGCCTCATGGCAGGAGCTTATTCAAATCCTGCAAATATTGCTGCACATCCCTTCTTGCCACTGTTATTCTCATCAGTGCTGTGCCTGTGACTTGGCTGAGGATTCAAAGCAGTCATTAGAAGTTTATAGATTCTGAAGTAAAGTCTCTCAGGATCCCATGGGCTCCTGTCACACAGACAGACTCACGTGGATGGAAAGAGGACAATTTTGCTGTTACTTATGGAGACTTCAAATTTCTCATATTTTATGAAAAATGTATAGACATTTTAATGTATTTATTTACTCAAATTTCATTTGAGGAGAAGTAACAAAATTTGGCTTAAATGCTGCCTTTGGGGCAGTAAGGAGGGGAAAAAAAAAAAGGTGTATCTTTTCCAAAAAATGGAATTTTTACGATTGGTAGAGCAGACATGTTGAACAATTCACACTCTTACACATGTCATGACTACTGACCTCCAACTGGTGCTCTGAGACTGAGGGTGTTAAAAGCTTCTGAAATTGTGAGTCAGCTCTCTAATTGGCTCTGCTTTATCAGTTGCACCAAGCTGGTTGCAGTCGAGTCCCCAGACACTGTTTATACACTGTGGCTAACACAGTTCTTGGCTGCACAGCTCCTCTGTGCTTTCACTTTATCACATAAGAGTCCCTAGAAGACTTTGAGCATGTGCACTGTTTATTTGCCCCTAGAAAAGCACTACCTTGCTACTGTGCATTGTCTTGTGTTTATGACAAGACTAAATGTGGGATGAAAAGTTGTGGACCTTAGTCGCTAACTCTTTGCATAGATTCGAAAATTCTTTTTTTTCCCAAAAACAATCTTGAATTCCCTGTCTCCCCTATGTTGTTGAAAAAAGATGATGATGTATGACTGCATATATTTGCCCAACCACTTTAATAGAAGAAATTGCTTATGAGACACTGCAAGCTGCCTTCCTAATTAGAGAGGGAATGGAACAAATGGAAAAGAGAAGGGAATAGGGCAGACCAGATGAATCAGTGTGCTGAGAGAGAGAAAGGATTTCTGGAACTGTGCTTCTGAAGGCTCCTGAGGTCCATGCATTGCCATAAGCTGATTTGCACTCATCTTTCAGCAAAGGCATCTGATAATGTCTTCTCTTCCAGGATGGTGGTGGGAAGCTCAGGGGAGACAACAAAGTGTTTTCAGCCACAACAACAGTTACTATCAATGTGGAGGATGTTCAGGACACTCCTCCCATGTTCATTGGGACTCCCTACTATGGATATGTCTATGAGGATACCCTCGTGGTAAGTGCTGGTTTTCATCTGTGGGAGAACAAGTGCAGCGTTTTCCACCTCAGTCAAGTTGGCCCTACAGTTTCTAGATAGGCTTTATTGGAAATGGGACCTAAACTCTGATTTGACTCCTAGGTGAGATGAGTGGACCAAGTCTCAGACTTGTTCTTATTTACGCCCATTGCGAATTTGCCCTGCAAGATTTCCTGTTGCCATCATTAAAGACAAAAAGGATTCACCCCATTTGTGTTGGTCTAAGCCCAGACAGTGGCTAAGCTCTGCCATAGCTCAGAGCTCCAGAAGAGCTTGGCTGAAGGCTTAAGCAGGTTGCCAGATACCTCACCTGAATACATCATGCTAGAAGCCTTTGTGTGTTTGTGCACTGCGTGGTTTCACAGTGCTTTTATTTTCCAGCTGTGATCAGTCTGGTACCAACAGCTGGTTGTGCAAGGTTTGGGGATAATTTATGCCCAAGTGCTCCAGACTCTTTGTGCTGTTCCATGAACATCACATACCAACAGCTGGTTGTGCAAAGTTTGGGGATAATTTATGCCCAAATGCTCCAAACTCTTTGTGCTGTTCCATGAACATCACCTGGGAAGAAGCAATCCTGACATCCTCAAAATGCAGGATGCTATCTGCTCATTGATGGCTGGATAGGCAGAATGGGCCAGGAAGTCCTCTCAGGCCTAAAATGCACCAGATGATCAATCAGGCAGGGACATACTTAGGAGAACCAGTTACAATTGGGGATGCTCAGCCACATATTATTCTTGAAGTGGGGAAACTAATGAGTTTTCTCTATATCTAAACAGTGACATGATATTGTGTATAGATCAGCTTTTGCCCTGATACCTAAGATTTAATTAAAATTTTCTTCATACATAGGACAAGAAATTATATCTGCCCACAGATTTACCCAACATTATGCTATTGATCTGTTTAGCAGTGTAACTGCATACTGTTCTCCTGATCTTCCCTTGAGTTTCAGGAAAGATCATGTCTTTACTTTCTGTCCAGACTCCAATGTATACTGCAGCCCTTACATGACTATATACTGCAGTTCACTGCAGAGGCTGTTATATTTCAGCAGGGCAAAGATGTAATGCCTGTGTTCTTTGCAGGTGTTTAGAATGAATGATATTGTGTATATTGATTTATTCTGCATAGTTACATATAGATCTTGAAATAACTATCAGGTGCACACAGGAGTTAGTGTTTACTATGGAAATGGGAGTCAATAAATGTTAATTCCATCCAGCTTGAGCTCATAACTTACACCAATATGATGTAATGTTGGAAGCATGAATCAGTCTTTCCCAGTGTGGGTTTTGCTATTAGAATGAACTCCGCAGAGAGAGAGGTAATAGCTGATTTTAGTGTTGCTTGCACATTTGGCGTTAGTTTTGTACACTTGCTTCTTTTCTCCTTGGTAGAGTTGTCAGGATTCACAAGTACTCTGTCACCTTCAAAGAGACTGCACAGCATTTTGCCCAGTAGGCAGATTTTATTGCTGCTTCCAGCATAAATGATAATAAATACAGTTCTGTCTCTCCAGTTTCTCTAACAGAACATTGCTCTCGTTTGAAAAATTCACTCAAGGATTGTCATGAAAATGTTCCTTGTTGCCACTTGTGATTAACTGACAGTTACTTCAGCATTCCCTGCTTTTGCAGCCCTCAAAGAGTAGTGCTTTAGTAGTTCAGAGGCCTGAATTGCACAGCTCATTGCCACTTGAGTGAGCATTTTAATGTGACAGTTATCATCCCTCTGAGCTGATAGGAATAGTCACACAAGCAAATGGTCCCCAGTACACAAGTTCTGTATGTATGGCCAACAGCCACATTACTTGCACAGAAAGACAGGCAGTGAAGGTTTAAGGGCAGTTGAATCACCATCATTTTCATCACAATTTTATGCCCTAAACGCTCTGTGGGCCAAGTTGCTTTGTGATCTCTGTTTGCTTTTGCTGCCTGTCTGCACTTAATTAGGTAGGATGCAAGTGACCTGATAACTCCTGGGCAGCTGCCTGTGTCTCAGCATGCTGTGTGCCCATGGGGCACACAGTGATGCTGGAACCTTCACAGTAGCAACCAGAGGGAATCTCGGCAGTGACCCAAACCAAACCTCACGTCCTCAGTTCAGTTACTCCAAATCCTCTGTCCAAGTCTGTGGCTCAAGGCAGGTGTCCCTGCTCCTGCAGCTGGCCAGCCTCTGGGGCTGAGGCACCTGCAGCCACATGGGATCTGCAGCTGTTTCACACCCAGAGCAGTGGGCATAGAGCAGCCCATGGGAAGTAGTGCTGTGCTCCTGCTGGCCCTCTGTGCTCACCCAAAACCAAACTGGAAAACAGGACAGGAGGACTGGGCCCTGGGGAAGCTGGCACTGACTTTGGCATGTCCTGAGGCTGCAGCTGGCCCTGGCCCTCCTGGGGCTGCTGAGGCAGGTGGCTCTGCCATCAGCACAGGCAGTGGCGTGGTGCAGGCAGCAGCCTGGCTCAGGCAGGAAACACAGCAGGTCCATAGGTAGTGAGCATCAGCAGGGGTGTCCCCACTTTGTATGGTACAGTGCATGGGCTGCATCACAAGGAACAGCTAAAACTGTTGATGTAGGAACAATGCAGAGTTAGTCCAAGAAGCAGCATTCAGCTTCTGCTCTGCAAAGCCATTTTTTGTGTTCCACATACAGCACAAGCACGAGTACCCACTCTGCCCCCAGCACCTCACTGCAGAAAAACTTACAGAAGTTCAGCTTACTAATATGCAGTTGCAATTTCATTGCTCTGATCTCAGCCCATGGACTGTGATTTCCTATTTCTCCCCAGGGCTCTGAAGTCCTTACTGTTGTTGCTCTTGATGGAGACAGAGGAAAACCTAACAGTATTCATTACTGCATTGTGAATGGTGAGTAGACTTGTCTTCTATGAAATTTGAAGGGCACTCAAAACTAGATCTGACATTAAATTAGAATAGGGTATGCTAGAGCTTAATAAAGCTGAGGCAAAATCCTATGAAACAACATCAGGTACCTCAAACAACTCCAGGGCCCTGTCTACCAGAGAATAGTCAAGGTACAATTCAGTGAGTTTTAGTATCTGCTTCACAGAATTGTGCTTGGAGCTGTTAATGTTGCTGATTTGTTAGGTGTGAGTAGCCCACTCATCATTTCAGAAAGCATAAAGGGGTATGTATTCACTGCTACTGAGCATCTCTCTCATTTAATCTGGAAGGCAAGAGAATTAACTGGGACACCCAGTCACAGTATTAAGAGGAATATTTTTATTAATACTGTAATTAAAGTGGCTAAATGGTCAAACCTCTGATTTCTTGGAAGGAATTTTATTTACCAGTGAAGAAACACTGACTGTACACTGCACTGGAAGAAAGCAGGTGTTATCAGGAAATTAATGCTTTCTATCAGCTATTCTGAGAGTGTCTGTCACACATCTTATAATAGCATAAATGTGAAACTTAGCTGAATCATTAGCTGGTGAAGTCAACAACTTAAGCTCAACTGAAATCCAGGCTACAACTTTAGTTTTGTTTGATTCTCTCTTCCTCCAAAACAAGTTTCAAAGCAACTGGGCATCCCAGCTCCCAGGTGTGAGAGATCCCAAAAATTCATAAGAGAAATCTGTGGGGTAATTGCAGAGCTATGGAGAGTAAGTGCTTTATTGTGTTATGTGATCTAAACAGCCAGGTCTAGAGAGAAGAGAGAGGGTTACAACTGAGTATTTGTGTTGGTGTGAGCTGGGACCCATGCTAAGGTTTCTTCTGAATGCAAGGGAATAGATAGTTAAAAGCAAGGTAGAAACATTAAGGAACAACGGGTTGCAGAAGAAAATAGATGGAAAATGATGAAAGGTAAAAAGAAAGGTGTAGTATAAGGAGTAAAAACAAATAAGTGGGACAAAAATATGCTAAACAAGGGAGAAATAAAGTAAGGAGACTAAGTGAAGGCAGAAGAACTAAGGAAAATGTCAAAGGGAAGTAGATTAATGAGGAAAGATACTAGATTTTCAAAGAAAATAGAGATCAAAAAGGTTCTCTGGGATTAAAAAAAAGGAAAGTGTTTAGGAAA